CATTTAAGTTCGAACATCCTTCCTAAGACATTTTTTTTCACAAAAAAGCTAATCAATCTTAAGAGTACTTTTACCATAAAAAATGACTATTTAGTTATGAAAAATGTAAACGGTAATAATCTTTCAAACATATAAATGTTTGTTTGATTGATTGTTATTTAACGGCTCTCTTGAGAATTTTTCACTCATACGGAGACGCCACCACTTGCCGGTGGAAAGCTGCAAATTTTGTCCTATACTCGGCACTTATAGCCATTGAGCAGTGAGGGGTCTTTTTCGTGCCAGTACCTACTGCGACACTGGATCCCGGTTTATACGGTCTCATCCGAAGGATCGGTCTCCACGTCCCACACTTAGATTCTAACTAGCGATCAACTCCTTACTTCGCGACTCTAGAGCAGACACTCTAACCACTGCGACAGGCGGGCGACTTAACCGATTAATGAGAGATTCACTTGATTGGTCCTCTACTATTATTATAATAATTATTAATGAATAGGTTTCTGATATTTTTTATCAAAAAAATATACACAGTACCGGCTTAATTCCATTTACTAGTATATAGTTCAGAGTATCATTATTTTAATCAATAGAAATGATAGCATTTTCAAATGACACGTTAGAAAAAAGCTCGAGTACTATTTTGCTAAAAAGAGAAGTCAGGCAATGTATCAATGAATTATCAATGAATTGTATGGAAATAACGAAGAACATTCAGTCCCAAAAGTGTAACTATTCGAGTGAAAAATCCATGTAGCTTTCATAAGTGACACTGTTATAAGTTCAATGTCTTTTATATAGTTATATCCATTCTTAAGTTTATTGACTGCCATATCTCCAAATGAAAGTTTTAGATACATGTTGTCACTTTGAATATTGGAAAGTTGATCATAAAATTTTTAATCCATGTTGTTAAAAGTCCTAAATTTTATCGTTAAATCATTCTTTCTATCAGTGGTGTACCTTGGACTAGAATTGGGATACATGTATCATAAGAAAGAATTTAACCTGCTTTTGGCAAAAGGCAACGTGCATGCATTATACATTTATAAACGCAGCTCCACAGTTGGCCTCACTCCAAATTTGCATATCAAGCGAAGAAAATATAACATATACGGTAAATAATTTCAAAATTTAATACATTTTTTATTGTCGAAAAATAAAGTAAATAATATTACCAAAAAAATATATAAAAAAAACTCTTTTTTTAAAAAAAAAAAGAATGTGTGATAGAAGAACATATTTCCACTTGATCATTAGAGAAAAAATAGTAAAATAAAAAGTAATAGTATTTTATTACTTTAGAATTCACATAATGACAATAACATTAATTTCAAACTATGTTTGAAAGTTATAAAGCCATCACACCTTTCACTGCGAATATTAACTTTTTTGATTCAACTAAACGCTATATTTTATTGTGTGTAACTCAGACAGGAAAAATAACAAATAATCCTTTTCTATCCGATGTATTAAAGAATTCAACTCAAAATAAGTCTTATATCATTTTTAATTGGGAATAATTGGGAACATTTAACATTATTTGTCATATCTTTGTTCTACAAAATGCTCTTTTCATAAATGCAGATACTTTCTACATTATTTTCTTCACTTCCATTCTGCCATCAAGTGGATATAGAACATACTAATAATATAAAATAAACTAGAACATTAACAGAAATCCTTAATATACATCAGTTCTCTTAATTTTTAATAAAAGCTTCCCTACCTGTACCAGGCTAAATCTTTCTCCGACTTATAACATAAAACGATCCAGAATAATTAAATGTGGCTAAACAATCCAGTCAAAACATATTAATAACAGATAAAAATAAATAAATATGTATTTTCCTTCCACTTATGCGCATAAAAATTTGCTCGCACGTGCTTTCAATTTAACCTATAAATGACATTTAGAATTGTCTGAGTTAGTAAAATAATACTACCGTGTTTATCTATTTTTTAAGTACACGTCAACTTTTCGGAAAACTGGTTAATAGATTCCTATTTATGCTAAGAAGTCACCTCGTGTCTTTTACTCCAGTTTTACACAAGATATTTAAAGAAACGTTAAAAAGTGGCGATGTGAAAAATTCTAGGAAAACTCTCACAGAAGAAAAAAATTCTATAGCAGCAAAGCATTTTAATAAATCTTTGATTTTTAGGCGCCGGAGAATGTAATTTGAGGGAATGTAATGATCTCTCGAACTATAGTTTTTGTTAGTCATGAAGTAAATTACAATGCTTTCATAATATTACTTAGCTTTAATATGTAACAAGCATAAAATACTTTATACGAGTATTTACTATTCACTCTTAATATTTTTATATGTGTAATGAAATGCTAAGTACTCGGAAAAAAATCGGAGGGAAATTAAGTTCAAAAGACAGAAAAAGAAAAAGCTAAACAAAATTCCAATTTGATCAGAAAGGACAAATTATAGTAAAAGTCGTATTGACCTCTTAATTCGTTAAACATCAGATATTTTGCGAGTAATGAATCAGATGCTTGTTAGCTCACCTAAGCCAAAGGCTCAAGTGAGCTTTTCTGATCAAAATTTGTCTGTCGTCGTTGTCGTCGTTGTTGTCGTAAACTTTTCACATTTTCATCTTCTTCTCAAGAACCACTTGGCCAATTTCAACCAAAGTTGCTACAAAGTATCCTTGGGTTAAGGGGATTCAAGTTTGTTCAAATGAAGGGCCACGCCCTTTTCCAAGGGGAGATGATTATGAATTAGAGAAAAATTAATGGATTTTTAAAAAAATCTTCTTCTCAAGAACGACTGGGCCAGGAAAGATGAAACTCATGTGGAATCATCCTCAGGTAGTGTAGATTCAGGTTTGTTCAAATCATGACCCCCGGGGGTAGGGTGGGCCAAAATGGCCGATCAAAGTTTTACATAGGAATATATTGGAAAAATCTTTAAAAATCTCTTTTCTCAAGAACCACAGGGCCAGGAAAGATGAAACTCATGTGGAATTATCCTCAAAGTCTTACATAGGAATATAGTAGTGTAGATTCAAGTTTGTTCAAATCATGACCCTGGGGGTAGGGTGGGGCCAAAATGGTCGATCAAAGTTTAACATCGGAATATTTAGGAAAAATCTTCTCAAGAACCACAGGGCCAGGAAAGATAAAACTCATGTGCAGTCATCCTCAGGTAGTGTAGATTCAAGTTTGTTCAAATCATGACCCCCGGAGGTAGGGTGATGCCAAAATGGCTGATCAAAGTTTTACACAGGAATATATAGGGAAAGTCTTCTTCTCAAAAACCATTGAGACAGGAAAAATGAAACTCCTGTGGAATCATCCCCAGGTAGTGTAGACTCAACTTTGTTCAAATCATGACCCCCGGGGGTAGGGTGGGGCCAAATGGCCGATAAAAGTTTTACATATATAGAGAAATCTTTTAAAATCTTCTTTTCAAGTACTTCAAAGCCATGCTTAGTGATATTTATAGGGAATCATCCTCAGGTAGTGTAGATTCTAGTTTGTTCAAATCATGACCCCCTGGGGGGTTAAAATTCAAGCCCCCCTCCCCCTCAGTAAACTTTCAGTTCTGATCTGATATGTGCTTTTTCCTAGCTAATTGCTAAGGTGAGCGATGTGGCCCCTGGGCCTCTTGTTTTATAACTACATTGATTTTGAATCAAAACGGAGAAAGGAGTCGCAGATGGAACAAAGTTAAGCATTCTAAAAAAAATTCTAAATTTCTCTTTTCTCATATACTTTCACCAATACATATAATTTACCTCTGAAAACATTAAGTCTAACTTTCTGAGATTGTCATATACAAGAATGAAACTCGTATAGTGCTGGGAACTATTTTTTGTTACATAATTTAGCATCAGCATTTAAGCAAATTAAGCATCAGCATTCAGCTATATATAGCGTCAGGATCTGCATCCGAAAAAAAGTCAGAATCAGCAAGCAAAGGATATAGAACTAGCTTATAAGTATATATAAATGCAGTGCAAACACGAACCGACTGTGAATTCTTTATTTTCGTGTGGTTTAATATTCGTGGTTTTCGAGGCATGGAGAGACCAACGAATATATGACCACCACAAAATTTAAAATTTCATACGCATTACTACGAAACATTCTTCAACCACGAATTTAAGTTCCCACAAAGCAATATTTCTTCCTCAAAACTCAAAAAATTGACCCTTAGAAATATGTGAATTAACAATATCAAACGTCACAGATGTGATCAGGTGCCATAGTGAGGTAAGCATCCCTGACGACCAGTGACCTCCGCCGTGTGCCCCCTTATCATAATCGGGTGGAAAAAATTTGAAAAACAAACAAACAAATCAGTGTGTAGGTAATGGCCTAACAATTAGTATGAAAAACGTCCATCAGCAGTTGACTGGATGATAGATTGTGCTGACAAGGTCAATTAGATTATTGTATCGTTCAATAATCTTAGGAAATTATGATTTTAAACATATCTCTTCACATTCTTTTTCATTAACTTGTCAATAGCTTGTCTCATTCAAACATTTTATAAATTGTTCCTATATAGAACATGCTCTTGCAAATCGAATCAACTTACAATTAGAGACATAAACCTGGTTTGCGGGTGATAAGGGTATACTCTTACATGTACATAAGTATAGGAAAAAATACAATTAAAAAGTAGACGACCTCAGTTTATCATAATATAGCTTTGTTGTAAGTAAACATTAATGTCTTTTTCCTATGAAATATCCAAATATGAAACAGATGTGTCAGACCAGAACCTTTGGCAAAATCGTAGATTCTTTTCCATGATTTTGATTCAGTGGGTCTTGAAAAGATAATGCTTTAATGATAATGTGTGAATTTAGGCCATAGTCTAGCGTCGCACAAAAATATATCCATTGGTTGTTTTTTTTTTTTTTTTTTTTTTTTTTTTTTTTTTACATATTTTGAGTGACATGACTCTTTAATATTGAATTTCATACTTCCTGTCAAGTGGAGGACGTGTCTACATTTCCTTCTTTCCTTCTTACAGGGCCGTGAAACATTTCTGTTTAGCATACCCCACAAAATGGAAATCGGCACGCCGGGACCAGCGCACTCGTGTGGTGTTCAGTATCTAAAGCCAGGTCTGGAATACCTTATATCAGGTATATTTAAGGAATCAATGTCTAGTTAGTATAGTATGCCACTGATCAACGATAGTGGGAAACATGGAATAATTTGCATAACGGGCGAAGCCTGTTGTGCATAAATTATCCCAAGTTTCCCACTATCGTTGATGTCCCTGGCATACTATACTAACTAGACAGTGAGTTCTTATATTTTTATTTCATTGAGAAATATAATTGTAGATTTAGACTTAAAAAATGTAGACATAAATATAAATTGCACGAGGACTCCCATGCCAATTTCAATAGTCCTCGCCCACTGACGTCAAACACAAAGGCAGCTGCACGAGATTTACATACATTTTGGCTTTCTTGGCATCAGACACAGAGACAGATGCGCATGAGATTTAGATGCATATTAGGCCTCCTTAGCTCCTGACCTATCGACCTGCATTATTTACATCCCGGTAGAATTATCAAGAAATCAACTTCGCTAACTTTCAAAGAGTTATCACAGAGAGAAAAAATTAGAACTGGAAATATATGTATATGTTCATGATATTGTATGCTTTTTTCATACAAATAGCTAGGCCAATATCTTTACTTAAATTTCCGTTTCCCCCTTCAAAACAAGAAACATACGGTGGGTGTTTATTGTCGTTTTTAATTAAAAAGGGAGTTGATACAAATATTATGCTCACTCATTATATGAAAACAAAAAAATATTTGGTGATATTTAAGTATGTACATTTCCAAATTCAAAATATGAAAATCATCGACATCAATAAACCAGACTTGTAAGAGATTTATTATGACACTACATTGTAATAATATAATAATCTATAATAATATGGAATAACTTTTTAACGCTAATATTAATATATCATTTGTGTATTACTTGTAAGAAGATATTTCCTTGGAAACAAGATAAAAAGTTAAGTTGCCAAAGTTAAGTGGTTGAACAATGGTTCAAACACATAGGTAAAGGTATAAAAAAAATATTTATCCTGTACCCAAGGGAAGGTCATTTAACAAAAAATACACCAATTAATTATGAAAGCGCTGTCAAAATAATTCAAAACCGTTATGGTCAAGGTTAAAGATTTTAAAAGAAGGTCAAACTCAAAGTCAAAGATTCAAAATTACTGTTTTCCAAGGAAAGAACATGTACAGGAAGGAAGACAGTCCTAGCACCAAATCTTTTAAACAATGAACAACGATAAATATTTCAAAAGTACATATATAGGGTATAGGTCAAATTCCAAGGTCAAGATTCTTAATTGATAGTGCCCTAGAACACGTCATCTCACAGGAAATACTCATGTGATGTATGAAAATCCTAGCACTAACAGTTCAAAAGTTATGGTTTAAGGTTAGCGTCAGGGAAAATTCTGCAAAAGTTCGTCAAATTACAATGTCAAGGTTCAAGATGTCACACTTTTATGCTTATTTCCAAAGAAAGGTCTTGTTCCAAGAAACACACAATTGAAATAGCACCAATCAATCCAAAGTCATGGACAAGGTTATGTTTTTGCGGGCAAACAGACAGACGGACAAGTTAAAAACTAAATATCTCTGGATCTTGGCATATCAATAAAATAATGTTAATATCTGTTATGCTTAGGCAATAGAGATGAAAGAGGACTCAAGGCAAACGCATGTTCCGGTGTCAAGTTCTGGACAGATATTCAAGCAATTCTTCTCCGCAATGTGGACTGCAGTTGCAAAGTAACAAACTTTATCTTCGTCAAAAATTACCATTCCATATTTTTGATTGCTTGTATATATAACGTTTAAGAATTACACTATTCTAAAAGTAAAATACAGAAATATATAACATTTATCCCTCGATATCTTCTGTTATTTTAAGAAGGTTGTCACGGTTTTCCGAATGTTTACTCTTTAAGTTCCCTGTCTCAATCAATTTTAATTATAATTCTTTTAATATATATTTATTTGTTACTTTATCACAGATTTTCATTCCAAAAACATGGAATATCCCTATGAAAAATGAATACCCCCCTAAGACGGATGATATCTGCCTTGCTCCTACCAGGGGCACATGTCAGTTCAAATCAGGGGTGTGTAAACGAGATCAGAGAGGAGTGTGCCAATGGAATCTTGTTAAACCTTGTCCTGAGAAGGCTCCATAAATTACAAATATTTGAAAGAAATTGGGAATGAGACTGTAACAAAGTGAAGTGACCAAATGCTATGGGATGTTATAGAAATTTTGTAATTTGTTTTAACATTTCATGATAAGTTACTGCATGTGTTATAATTGTAATCACATGATAACATTTATCATGTGAATTCCAAATTGAAAACGTTTTTAATTTTTAAAGCAATATGAGCTGCATTTTTGTGAATTTTATTTTACTGGTAAAATATGTCATTATGATAAATTTGTACGTAATTTAAACTTGATGATCAATTAGACTAAAATGAAGTATCAAATTGTTTCAGAATAAAGACTTCTGTACTATCAAATATAGAGTATTATATACGGAATCAATATTGTACAGAACGACAAAATTATAATTTTGCCGAGTTCAGTCGAAGCTTATCAATAGTTCTTCCATCGCAAATATGAACAACAGAAGTTTATAAAATTAATGTTCTTTTCTCTGTCATTGAAATGGTTAGTTACAATGTTGTAACAAAAATTTCCGACATCAATATTGCAGCGTATATTGCTTTAAACATCTTTTCCCTAAACAATAAATCCAACGAGAAGGTAAAATCTATGTGTTTATCATGTGCTGGGTGTTTTCGTTTTATGTAAGTTGGGGTATATTTAAACATGTGCTTGAATGCCTCATCTATATTTCGTCGTGATGAACAGCTATCTATACAGTTTTTAGAACTATGATAGGAAATGTACATTAAGTTTTTGAATTTTGTCAAATGAACATACTATATTTGAAATGTATATATTAATATATTTAGTATTGTATCGAATAAAATGTATAATATATTATTTTACAGATTTTCCTTTATGTCCCTCTCTCTCTCTCTCTCTCTCTCTCTCTCTCTCTCTCTCTCTCTCTCTCTGAATTTATGGATAACATGGACCGGACAACTGCATGTATAATTTAGATTTTCGGAATTACCAAATTAATTTTGAACATCTCTATCGCAAACACTGAAAATGAATGTGATATAGTAAAAAATACTTTATAACATTTTAAAAGCGTTAAGTACAAACTATTTGTTTTACATGTTACATACTTCCAGCATATACAATGTAGTGTATATTGTGAGGAATGGTTATTGAACTTGTATTTGTACAGCCAAATAGTGCCAATATATTCACAAATAAATGCTTCTTTATTATATCAATCATAGACCTAAATATAGCTAAAACATATCCTCATAAATTATAAGAATTATTCCAGCTAAAAAACTCAAACAAATATTTTTTTTTAGTATCAGTATATTCAAATTAACGCCTGTCCTGCATGTAAACTTGTGTTCAATATCGTATCATTCCAATGACCCTACCGAGCGTTATGAATTGCTTATTTCTTTAAATTTAATTTTTAATAAATAATTTCGTTAAATTGTGTAAAAGTAAACACATTTTACCTAGTTGGCACTCTCTTTAGTTTGCGGTCCCTATGGAAAGACCATACGGCATTTTTTTTTTTTTGCATATAACGGGGCGTTCGATATTGAACGCCCGTATTCGGAATGTTTCGGACATCCTCGTATGTAATGAAAACAAGGCGTGTGCCTTGTCTTTGTTTACATATAAAAAATGTATTTTAATGAAAACAAGATTCAGCAAATCATTAGAAACTTCTAATCGTATTCAGAATTAACTTCATTATTGAAAAATCTGCTTTGAACGAACATCTATACATATGAATTAATAAATTTTGCAAATAAACTCAGAAACGGGTGTACCAGACTCTTCACATAGTCATCTAACAATACACTATATTGTGAAAGGAATACTAATTATTTTCCTATAGAATTCTATACAAATCTTAAGCCCTTTCAGGAGTTTACAATGACAAAATTCACTAGCATCATTTAAAACTTCGTTCTAAGCCATAACAAAAAATACTGAAAAAAATATATGGTCCCGTGGACTTAATTTATATGTCAAAATTGCTGTTATTTTCAACTTATAGCGATCAGCAGTAAAAACAAAAAACGCTACATAAAAAATCAACCTCCAATCCTAAAATCTTCCCTAGTAATTCTAAGTTTCTGCAATATTCTCTCATCACATCATTTTTTTTCAAAAGTCATTAATTTTACTTTAAAATGAAAGCAATTAAATACCTGATTTAAGCCTATGGCGTATTAACGCCTACCCATTCAGTATTCTATTTAACATTTCATCGCAAACAAAGCCATGTGTTCATCCGGGGATTTGGTGCTCTCATTCCTATTAACATATTTACCTGTCCCAGAATTAGTCAATTGTGGTAATTTCAAATACTATACACCTACTTGTGTACATGTATGACATTTATGTCCTGTGACTTCAGTTTATTATACTTTGACCATCTCACCTTACTGCTACCAACACAGTTCAACAGAATGAATAACTTTCAGGTCGGTGATGAATTTGGATATATTGGTGACTGTAATGAATAAAATATTTGTAAAATGATTTTTTATTGTTTTTTTTATGTTAATTAAGTGATAAAAAGTCGAAATTGAGCTAATTTTTTAGGGTGGATTCTGCCCAGAAATATAGGAATAAAGCTAAAAATTTAATAAGTCATAGCTAAGTAAGCAAAAATTGAAAAGTTTTAAAAACAGGTATAGAACTTTTTATGCTTATTTGAAGTAAGTTATTTTAAACTCAGATATACAAATTGATTCTTATCTAACCCTTCCTATTGCTTAGGTATGTACAAAAAGTCCCCCCCCCCCAAGGGAAAGATGATTGATTGATTATATACTGTTTAACCGTACGTCCCTCTCCAGAATATTTCACTGATATGGAGACGTCACCATTGCCGGTGAAGGGCTGCAAATTTAGGAGCACTTATGGCCTTTAAGCAGGGAAATTGTGCCACACCTGCTGTGACACGGGGCCTCGGTTTATACGGTCTCATCAAAATGACCGCCCCATTTTGCCTTTTACGACAAGCAAAAGGTACAATTTGACCCGAATCCCCACAGGGCGAAAGACACTTAGAGAAATAGCAGGTGCCCCCTATTATTTTTGTTTACAATTAATTTAGACAAGAGTAAATCAATCCTTTTGATAACAAATTAAAGTTCAGTTTCTGTACCAAACATGAGATGATCTTAACTTACCTTCCTACTTTGGCCATGTCAACTGAACAGTGCTTTACCAATTTCTAACCTCTCTTAACCTCCCCCCCATCTCTCAATGGACCCAAATCACTGTACTTGTTAAAAGTCCAGAAGTCTATACAGTGCAATCATATGCTATATTATTGAATTTCATGCTAAGGAAAGGTGAATTCAATTATTTTTTTTTGAATCAAGAAAAGCAATAACTGACTTCAAACCCAAAATTGTACTACACAATAAGAGGCTGGAAAGTTGATGAATGGAAAATTTACCTGCAATGTACAGAAAACTGTCCGACAAAATACGCCAGGTGCGTAGCGAGTCTACATCTTCTTCTTTTACAGAGAAAATGCTGATCAGATACCGAACTTTCCAAGAGCCGAGGAAGCTGAAAGGTGAAAGTCCTCTACAATGCGTAAATGAGAATGAATCAAAAAAGTTAGTCAAATTTAGCAAAAATCATGAAAGAAACAGCAATTGTTTTCAAGTGTTCTAAAACTTTACTTAATAACATATCTTCTACATAGTTGAATATTTTAAAAATGTATCTGTAAAGGATGGAATACATGTTTTACAATATTACATGTAATTACATGTAAATATAATAAAGGTCAATGTGATACACGCAGTTCAAGGTCATTCCAATAATTCATGAAAAAAATCCGAAGCCTAAGGTAAAAATAATTAAGATTTCATGTTGAAATTCTACATGTCTGGTTAGCAGGTCTAAGGAAAGTAACTCTAAGTACAAAAAAACAGAAACCATTAGAAAATGAGTTACAGACAGTCATTTTGATGAAACTACAAAGTGCAAAAAAGGGAAAACATAGACATTTGTGTAGCTACAACATGGAAACAACACTGTAGATTGATCACGCAGTTTCCAAGAAAGGTGGGGCAATCCAGAGGATCACATACACTACCAAACATGAGATGATCTTAACTTACCTTCCTACTTTGGCCATGTCAACTGAACAGTGCTTTACCAATTTCTAACCTCTCTTAACCTCCCCCCCATCTCTCAATGGACCCAAATCACTGTACTTGTTAAAAGTCCAGAGTGTCCTGGTGTAGCTTCATCTTGTGGCTGTGCCGATGTCAGGCTAGTGATTCTGAAAATCGCCCTTACGCACAGCTGATGTTGAAATAGGGTGCCTACAGGTTTACAACCGTTTTAGTATAGCGTGACGTTTAATATGAAAGTCAAAATTATGACGACACAATACCCAGTTTTACCGCAGTTTTATCGGGTGCAAGTGAACTAATGTTGTCATTGCTATAATAATCGGATTTATTTTGTAATGAAATAAATTGCATTATATAATCATGATATTAAAAAAAAGTTTTGATCGCACAAATCTACAAAAGGAGTTTTCCACTTAAGTACATGTATAGTAGCTTGGTCCCTTTTTACGCCCTTATTTTACACAATATACATGAGGATATGGTATTAATATGGTGTGTAACATAGTCTATTAAAATTTCAGTACAAATCATTAATATTTACATTTGCAAATGTTTTCCTTTACATAACATTATATGAATAAGCGTTTTTATAACTGTGTAAATACAGGTTTGGGGTCAAGAGGTCATAGATGTGCGTTTGGATAAACGTTCCACGTAATTTCTCTGTACATGTTGGGTTTGAAAAATTAACGCATTTCACACGTTAAAAGTAACAATCGTTTGGGCAAATAACAATATAATATAAAGTAATGGTATTATTTTTATTTTCATGGTGTGTAACATAGTATTTCTAATTAAAATTTTGTACAATCATTATTAATGACTTTGAGTATCAAGAAATACAAGCCAATTTTCAACATCTACCGCACAAACAAATTCCGGAACATTTTCTTTCGAACAGAGTGCGGTTTCTCTATTACATACAAATCTATTACATACATTTAAATTGTACTGTATCAAGGAAGACATGGTGAGCTGTAGCGTGAGATAAGAAATGATTAACATTATGTTCGATGGATAAAATTAATATTCAATAAACTTGAATTTTATTTTGCATTATTCAGTAAATTACGGTAAATACACACAAATATACACTCCCTTTTTTGTCAAGGGGGAGCTGAAAAAAAATAAACCTAAACAAAAGTTTGATAAAGCAAACTAAAGAGGAAACCCTTCCGAGCTTGAAAAAAAATCGAT